CTATGAAAAAAAATTGTTCCCATTCTTATATAAAAAGCAAATGGATTTCTAACTAGGGTAGTGGGCAAGGAAACATCTATAGTTAAAAACAGTTGAGAAATTCATTTGCTGCATCAAATTAGTAAGAAAATACTTGTTCTCCATTGTTTGTGTGATTTTACTTTTGAGTGTCCTGTTAGTATTATAAGCCATCTGTCATTCTGTTGAAAACAATACCAGTAACAGCAAGCCATTAAAATAAAATGCCGTACACACAGGACTTGCTTTCTCGTACTTCATAAGTGGTGGGCTTTTTAATTACTTCAGATAGATTTTTCTTTTGTGAAGTCTGTTGAAAGATCATTTAGCCATATGGCAGACTGTTTTATGTTTAATAGAAAGAAAAGGAAAAAAAATTAGACCTCTCATAACTGAAAATTAAAAGTTTACTACACCTGTGTCCTTTTGCCTCCTTGACTAACTTTTCCTCATTACCTGTATGCATTCTAGGAATTTATAATTTACGTAGTTAATCTTCTCTGGGTAACCTTATGAGATAGTTATTATTTTTAAAATGCTATCATTTTTAGAACATCTGAGCAAAAGCCTGGACTCCTCTTAAAAAATAAAGATCTCAGAGCACTCTATTTTGATTACTTTTCACATTGGTTAAAAATATTTACATGCAGACAGTATTAAAAGCTACTTTGTAAGAACTAAAGTGGTTTTTATGAACTCTTTCAAAAGAGTTCGGTTCTAAAATATAAGTGGATATATTTTAGGCATGATAACTACCATATTTTTAAGTAAGATACTGTTTGTAATGCTTTATCTTTTACCTATGTGTGAATTTAACCCTTTTGTGAATCTTCTTAAGCATATGAAGATAGAGTGCCAATGAGAAGTTCAATTCATACTTAATTTAAACGAAAAACATATTTGCTAAATGTGAAGATGAAAATTTTTTATTCTTGTGTGAATAAGAGCTGTATTTATTTATATAGTGACATGAGTATCACTGTTAGCTTTTGACTGGCCTAGGAAGTTAATTAGAGAAATTGAAGTGTTAACCTTTAAGAAATACATCTAAGAGTGAGTCAGACCTACCCAAAATGTAACTGTGCAGCTTATGAGACAGTTTATAAAATCCTTTATACAGAGGCAGGGATCCCTTCTGTGATAGTTTCAAAGGAAACATGGACACATTTGTGAAAATAAAGTCATGAGACCTTTTTAATATATCACCGGAGTTGTACAAGTCCCAGTAGTTATCGTTCCATATCTGTGTCCATTTTGCAGTGCAGTAGCTATCTGCTCAAAATTTGTAGGGAACTTTTTTTTTTAAATGGGTTCAGAATCTCATACAGCCACTCAATAAATAATTATTAACTGGATCTCTTTATCTCAGACCTCTCCTAAATATCCTGAGTGTGAACATTTTGTCCATAAAGAGTGAATTCTATTTTTTAAATTAACCACAAAGTCTAAAAAATTAGATGTCTTACTGAGCTAGATGATGCCATTTTGGGTGAGAACAAGTTAAAGCATCAAATCTGATTTTCTGATATGGCTTATAACTGAATTCAAAAGCAATTCTTAAAAAGGAATTCCATATTTCTTTTTTGGAATCATTAGAACAAGAATTTAGCATCCCAGAATTTCTGGAAATGGTAGCACTATGGATAAGTTTTGTTGTATGTGTTTTATCAGATCAGTTTCATAAGAACTTAATTTTGGTGGTGTGATTTAAATTTCCCAAGTCATTGCTTTTGTATAAAAAGTCCAAAAATTAAATTTTTATATATTTCAAAATGTTATATTAGGTGTTAATTATACTTGGCTCTAATGTAATATTTGTCTTTCTTTTCTTTAGACATCTGCAGTTATTTCAGGAAATTCTTCTAGTACCAGTGTTTCCTCTTCAGGAGCTAGTGGTCTAACTGGGTGGGCAGCTTTTGGAGCCAAAACTTCTTCTGCTGGTCCATCAACTGCAAAATTGAGTTCAACAACCCAAAACAATAGCGGGAAACCTGCTACGTCATCAGCTAACCAGAAGCCCGTGGGTTTGACTAGTCTGGCCACATCATCCAAAGGTGGAATAGGTTCCAAAATAGGTGCCAGTAACAGCACCTCACCCACTGTACCATTGAAACCACCTCCGCCTCTAACTTTGGGCAAAACTGGCCTCAGTCGCTCAGTTAGTTGTGACAATGTTAGCAAAGCAGGTCTTCCTAGTCCAAGTAGTTTAGTTCCAGGAAGCAGCAGCCAGCTAAGTGGGAATGGAAATAGTGGGCCAGCCGGGCCTAGTGGAAGTACCACCAGCAAAACCACTTCAGAATCGAGCAGCTCTCCCTCAGCATCCCTTAAAGGTCCAACTTCACAAGAATCACAGCTCAATGCCATGAAGCGATTACAGATGGTCAAGAAGAAAGCAGCCCAAAAGAAACTCAAGAAGTAATGCGGCCACGTAGGTTTTTATATCATGTTACTCTAAAGATTGAAATCTTACTATTAGGACAGAAACTGTAATATACTATAATTTAATAAAAATCTTGATAATGAAATTTCTTTTATTTCGTACCTTAAAATGCTGCATGTTATTTAGCAGAACTTGGAAATCTTTGTTTTTTTAAATCTAACAGTTTTAACAGTTTCCATAATGTGTGAAATTGATTAGAAGTATAACTAATTCTTGATGACAACTTCTAGAATCCCAGAAGATCGGTAGCATATGCAAATTAAAAAACAAACAGAAAAAGCAATAGTTCATCTTCTAACTAAGCCCTAAGAATTGATCCTGCTGAATAAGGCCCTACAAGGTGGCAAGGATAACCAATCATAAAGCTTTCTACTTTCGCCCCAATATTCTGGATGTCTAGTGTCAGTCCCCAGCCTCATTTCAATTGATTCTCCCTCTCCCCCCAAATATTTCGTACCCCCTTTTTCAAAATTAATTTTTCATAATTCATTTCTGATACCCCCATTATTGAGTTGTCGGAAAAGTCATGACGCATTTTTTTCTATGTTTTTTGTTGCAAAAATGCGTCATGACTTCTCCAACGACCCAATATATCTTTACCTTTTTTATTACTTCATATCAATTATTTATGTCTTCCAATAGATTGTGAACTACCATGCCCTCCTAATGCAATACTTTTCTCACATTGCCCACTTTTCCTTACATTGCCAATGTAACAAATGCACATAGTATATACTTAATAAATGTTGAAATTGATTTATCCTGAGTTATACAGGTTTCTGAGAATTCTTGAGAAAAACAGCCATTCCAAGAGTCTGTGGATGCAAAATTTCTGCTTGTTTACATACTGCTAGCCTCTCCCTATCCTATGAAAAATAAGGCTGTTTTATTATTATTGCCCAAAAATGTTAGTTCATCTAATTTTAATTAACTTTGTATAAAAGAAACTCCTATATAATTCTTGAGATTGTTGAGAAGTATGTATGTGTACATTGTTAGGTCAGAAAGCTTGAACGGTCTTAGTTGTCTTATTTGCAAACTAGCAAATTAGCCTATGTTTTATATACATATTCTGACAGAAGACATGAGGCTTTCTGGAGCAGAGAGACAGCTTATTACTCACTGCAAAACACCGCAGCCATTTGGTACTTTGTGAATACCTCATTTCATTCGGAAACTGGAAGTCCAACCAATTCCCGCCTTCACTAGACTGAGCAGCCTTGTTCCTTCATCTTTCATGTGTGCTACTAAATAGCTTCTAATCTCAAATCCTTTCTTTTAAAATCCTTAGATTTGTATAACATCATTATTCTAAAATATATTGATATATGATTTCTGTGAAGACAAGTCTTTTAAATAATGGGACTAAATTATTCATGGTAAATTAGAATTCAAGACTGAGATAATCCCATTACTTACAAAGAGAAGTAAACATCTATTTATATGTTTAAAATCTGCCTGCAGATATTTTTGTTTTGAGAAACAGATTTCTGTTGATTAAACAGCAATTTGGCATCAACCTGAAATCCTGTAGGGTCAAAAGACCAAAAAAACATATACACCCATCATTATCTGTTTATAGCCCTGGGCCAGTTTGGACTTAATTGGACAAAATGACCTGACACAAGCTCAGTTCAACATCTATAACATTTAATGTAACCTCAGTACCTACAAGAAATTAAAGCAGTAACACAGTTTGTACATGGGCACTTGAAATGGAAAATTTTATCCCATCATAGTATATATAGATGGATAGATGAGAAGAGAAGCAATTATTTTAATTTCTACAGTTCTTCAGAGAGGACTTTTAAGACTTGGTTAAAAAGTAATTTATCTTTCATTGAGCATGGCTCTTTGTATAGATTATGTGTATATAAATATATATTTAGAACCTGCACATATGTATAAGTATGCATATATCTAGTAATTTATAACTCAGTTTGGTATTTTTATAGAGGTGTACTTGATATTAGAGTTTAATTGTCTTCAAGTAGCTCTTAGCCCTTGATTTTTTCATATCATTAAGTGAGCTAAAAGGCTTTTTAACCAAGCATGTGAGGAAGTGGCCAGCTTTATATTAATAGTATTTACTATTTAATTTGTTATGTATAATTTGTTTTCCCCACTAGAACTTAAGTTGCATTAAGGGCAGGGATCTTGTTTGTATTGCACACCATGGTATTCCCATTGCAGCTCTCAAGAAATAGTTATTGGCTCAGTGAATGAATAGACAGATAAGTAGGTGAGCCAACTAGTAAGATTTCAGGATTATAAATTCAAATCCCAGTTTAGTAGATATCTGTTCAGTATCATTTTTCTGTTTTGCATATTGTGTTTTCTACAATACTATTTAATCATAGATTTTAGTGACTTAAAAGAAAAGGAAAACATTGAAAGAATACTGGCTTAAAGTCAGAAGACCTGGTTTTGAGTCCCAGTGCCTCTTATTAGCTGTGTGATACTCGGTTTCCTCTGTTATAAAGCATAGATGATAATGAGATAAAATGGAAAGCATCTAATATTCAAATGTTAGGTGATTCTGACCCTTCACAAGGATGGGCTAGTACTGTTTAGTAGTAACTGAGATTATAAATTATGATGACCATAGATTATATAGGAAATACATCATTTTATAGAAATACATTTTTATTAATGCAACAATTATAAAAACTATATAAGCAATTAGAGAAAATCATAAATACATTTACATACTATATTGTTTTTTTAAAATAAGATAAGCTTATTTAATTTACTAAGAATATATCTTTGAGATTTTTAACAAGAAGATTTCTTTCCAGTATATGCTGAAGTGTGACTTGTTTTTCTGAAAATTAAAGTAAATCTTGTCTGTACCTGGAGTCTAATATCATGAAAGCAGTAGCCGGCCTACAGAGACTCAACTTGAATTCTAGTAACCCTGGAGTGAAAAGTCATTATATTGGAATAATTTTGTAGATCACAGAGAATGTAATGACTGAGTATTTTTATGTTATGCATATTATGTATAGGAGGGAGGTAATTGAAAAATTAGACTTTAAAAATACTAGCATTCTATAAATAGGATATCCCTAAAGAATATAAAGCCTAGTGTCTTTCCAATCAATGAAATATAATGTAAACTATATGATCAACTATAATGTAAACTTGTATGTCTAACATGGCTTGAATTTGTGAGGTCTAGATGTATTCAGTATTGAGCAGTGCATTGAGTATCTTAAGAAGCTATAGTTACGACAAACAGGATTTCAATAAAGTGGTTTTCTTGCCACCTTAGAATATAAAGATTTCCTTTCTTTATTCACATAGATTTGAGAGGTTTTTGCAATAGACAAAAAATCCAAGCTTATGGAAAAAGTGAAAAGTTTTTAATTTCATGTTTCAGTAGTGAAAACATTAATTTTTATAAATCATCTGAACTATTTATTCATCACAGAAAGAGACACTTAGTAGCCATCTCTAAAAGTCCAAATTAAATTTTAGGCAAAATATGCACTGTATCAGCACTTACAGTATTTTATGCAATACTGCATTTTATGACTAACAATGTGCATTATATCTCTTCAGCATAATTCAACCTTCATAGAATTGTTTCGTATACTGATGAATACTAAAACAGGACATTTTTTTCTGAAATATAAGGAATGTTCAAATAGCTGGTAACTTTTTCACACGATTTTAGCACCCATGGTAATTTTGTATTCCTGGATTTTTAATAATTTCTAAACTTTATTAAGTATAATGTTAGTTTAGATCATCTATTTAAAAGCTAAATACTAAATCAATAAATGATGACACATGCATATAATGAAAAATAATAATAAATACTAAGGAAAATGTATACATATACTTGTTTATTTGTTTTACAAAGAAAAACAGCCACAAAAAATTTCCCCTTCATTCTTGGTAAAAAATACCTATTTCAGATAATTCTTTACTGTACAATAACATTTAATTTTTAAAATATAAATAATTACATTAACATACCTCATTTTGATTATAATGATCTCACCAACAGTTTTTTTAAACTTTTGAAAACTTATATACATCTTAAATATTGTAGGATTTTATTTCCCTTAGACCCAAGAAAATGCCTGTTCTCAAAATTACAATCTACTTTAAACAACATACTAAGAAAATGAGGGTATTATAAAATGTTTTTTAAAAAAACCTTAAAGGTATATGAAATGTAGGTTGTGTTTTTAAAATAGCAACAACATAGTTTTACAGTAATATATATTCACCACAAGAGTGGAGGACTGCAGTAGGAGGCTTCATTACAACTCTTGCTCAGCATCTAACTGCAGCTATGATTTTAATGGTGTGGTTTCTTCAAGGGTCGGACAGGAAGCATTAATCTTAGGTCCACACACATAGACAAAGCTCACAGACATCTAGTCAATATTTCAGCCAGAAAAGCAGATATATGCTACTTACATAATTCATTTGCGGAGAGGGGGGAGTATGAAGGTCATAATTTATACACACACACACACACACACACACACACACACATATATATATATACACACACACACACATATATACATATAGTTGTTGGGCATGTTCATAATTTCCATAAGTAGTAAGTATGGATTTCCTTTGCTTTACCCTAAGCAAACTGGAATTTACTTGTTTTTTTATTGGATATGAAGGACCATTAAAAGATATAGAAAGTCCCTGTAAATATAGAGAGTCTTCTTTTGGTACCCTAAACAAGAAAAAATTTTATGCGAAAACAATTTACCAGTAGAATCTTATAAAATCCTGTTTAGATTAAGAATTTTAGGAATAATACACTAGCCCATGATTTCACTTGCCCATGGTCAACTGCAATCCAAAAATATTAAATGAAAAATTTCAGAAATAAACAGTTCACAAGTTTTCAATTGTGCTTCATCCTGAGTAGCGTGATGAAATCTCACAACATCTGGCTCTGTCCCGCCCGGGACGCAAATCATCCCTTTGCCCAGCGTAACTATGCTGTATGCATGACCTACCCGTTAGTCACTTAGTAGCATTCTCAGTTATCAGGTCTACTGTGGAGGAATCACAGTGTTTGTGTTCAAGTCACCTGTATAGTAGCCTAATGCTACATCACAATACCTACATCATTCATTCATGTGATTTCATCTCATCACATAGGTATTATATCATCTCACATCATTACAAGAAAGGTGAGTACAGTACGAGATATTTTGAGAGACCACATTCACATAACTTATTACCGTATATTGTCATAATTGTTCTATTTTATTACTGTTAATCTCTTACTGTGCCTAATTTATAAATTAAACTTTATTATAGGGATGTATTTATAGAAGAAAACATAGTACATATAGGGTTCGGTACTACCCGAAGTTTCAGGCATCCACTGAGGATCTTGGAACATATCCCCTGTGGATAATAGAGGACTACTGTATCATAAAACGTAAATTTTCTGTCATGTAAATGTCTTACGAATATCTGTTGTTTCACAGTCATATATGTACGCTAAAGTCAGCACCCTCTGGAAAGCAGCACTCTTCATTTTGTTATTTGCATTCCTCAGTGATATATGCAACAATATATATCATAGAGATCAAATCCTTTAAAATACTTTTGATTTTAATATTAAAATTTAATGTCATATTAGCACATTTTATGTGGACAATGGAAGTCCACCTTATTTTGTTTTTAAAGGAAACCACTAAGTCAAATTTAATGTTATTTTTTTTCTGTACCATGGAAACATCTTTAGTTCAATGAAATGTCTCGACAAAATATGCCTGAAATCTTAGGGGACAATTCTGAGCTATTCCCAAATTAAAATCCAGTGTCCCAGGACAGTGTGTTACAGCAAATGTTATCCTCAATGCCTGCTTTGTCTAAGTACAAATCAGCAACTAAAAATATTTATATCTTGGCTCAGAACATGGAACACACATTCCTCATTCATCATCCAAATGATTGAGTGATCCAAAAATATTCCTCACTAAAGTATCATTGGCAATCATAAAGGATAGTTTTTAAACAATTACACTTTCAAAAATGTTGAAACAAAACAATAAAAATGAACTTAGAATCTTCATTTTCTCTAGGCTAATATGGAAGCTCTTGTAGCCCTTGATTTTGAAAAACTTACCGCTACTTAAATAAGGACCTGAGAGGAAAACGGTCCCCACTGTCCATTATTTGCACCACTGAGTGTTTTGTGATAGCAAATGTACACGCTCCTGGAGGGTTAGTACAATGTGGTGCTTAGGATTCTGGACCCCAGAACCAGACCGAGGTTCGAGTCCAGCCCTATCACTTACTAGCAATGTGACCTGGGCTAAATTCACCTCTTCAGGCCACAGTATCCCTCATAATGTTGTATCAAATAAGTTACCACATATAAAGCATTTAGAACAATGTCTGGCATGTGGTATGCATTCAGTAAATGTTACATATTATTGTTACTCAGTTTTTTTCATTCAAAACATATTAAAGAGAGGCCCCACATCAGATTTCTAGTTGGCTGTTAACTAACAAATTCATATTCTTATGTATATTTAGTACTCTCCCTGGTTCATGCATATATATGTGTATAATCTATACCGTATAGTACACATATATATATGTGTAAACCATATAATGTATATGGTGTGTGTGTGTGTGTGTGTGTGTGTGTGTGTGTGTGTGTGTATGCATGCATATGCAAGAGGGGGACATGGAAAACAACAAACCTTTTTGAGGCAAAATACATCATACAGAAAAATAAAATACAGTAAATTGGAAAAAACCTGTCCTTAGATCCAGCCTTTCATGATGGTAAAGAACACACACTCTCAAAATCTCTCCACTTGTAAGTAGTTGATCACTGGAGCTTGGGCTGTTTGTTTTGCTGTCTCTGTTTACTGTTTCCTTCAACATGTATTTTCCACAGTACATTTTGAAATAATCGTGTTAGGAAGCACCGTGTTCCTTAAAACCTGATACAGTATCAATTCATGTAGTTTGGAGGTTTCTTGATTTCTAGGCTGACATTGTAATGTCAGTTTTATGAGGTAGTCAATCAACAACTTGCCAGAAAATAAATGTCAAAAGCCTTATTTTCTTAAGCATAAGTCATCTTCCCAAGGTAGTTAGCTGGCACATATCCTTTTTGCCCTTGAGCTTCAGCTAACCACCACTCTTTATTGCCACTTAGGTCGCAAAATCTAAGTATATGGACTCTTTGGTATTCCTGAAGGCTGAGTTCATGGTCACTTCGGGCTTGAAAGGCATGAACAGCATAGTAAATCTAGACAAAGAAGCAAATGGCATTATTAGACGCAGAACGTAAAACACGGTGACAAACATAAGAAAGGTTTCCAAGCTTTTAGAAGGCATGCTAGTTTTCTTCTTTTCCCAAAGTCTCATTTCCTCAACTCCTTCTGGGGGATCTATTTTGCTAAAGTATGGTCCAGATGAGAATAGAGTGAAATAGTCGTTCTGTTGGGAGGCTCCTAAACTGTCTGTGCTTGAAGGCAATTTGACAGTTTCAAATAAGAAATTTTTTTTAAATGTTAATTATTTTTGATTCTGTAATAGCTGTAAGAATCTCTTCTACAGGAATAGGAACATTGACAGGTTTTTACACAATAATGTTACTGCAATACCCACTTTATAAGGTAAAAAGTGTAAGGGAAGTGGAACTTTGTAGTCAAAATGACAAATTTAGAGGTGATTTAGAGGTGATTTTCATTTTTATTTATTTCTTTCCTTATTTTCCAAACCTTTATAATGATAATATATTAAACTTATAATATTTAAAATATTTTAAGTGACCTAGAAGAAACTAGTAAAATATATTTGAATCAAAAGAATTTTTCTGTACCCTCAAAAGAACACTTCATAATTATTAGATGCTTAAGGAGTCCCTGAATAAGTGTTTAGTCCCTCTTCCACTAAAATCATAAGACTGTTAATGCAAATGTTTAGTTATGGTATAAAATTAAGCAATCAACTGATAACATTTATTCATTCATTTTTTTAATCAGAATTTATTAAGTACCTACTGTTAAGTGCCAGACATTGTTTAGAAAACTTGTAACCCAGCTAGGAAAACACATTAAAAAAAAAAAGGTGCATGCAAAAAACAAAACAAAAAAACACACTACACATGCAGGTGCTATATATCGTCAGTAGCTGGTGTATGGAATAAATCATGTTTTGTAAGTGACAAAGTTGATAAAAGGGGTGGATATATCATATTCAAACGTACAGAGATGAATACATGAAAACAGTACATGGGGAAGGCAAGCTGAATAACTTTCTCAAAATCGAAGGTCAAGGTAAAAAGGAAATTATGAGGATTAAGGTGACTGTTGAGCAGAAAAAGAGACTGGGCGATGTGTGGGGAGGGGGCTATAGTTACAGTTTAAGTTGTTCTTTAGCTCTTGAACTGTTGTTTAACTTTTGATGAAATTCTGATACAATTGATGTGTGTATCATCTCAACAACTCTGGCATGAGCTCCATCTTAAGGAGAGGTGGCCTTCTGTTCAATATGAGCTGTTTTTCTCTGATGGGAGAGTATAAAAAGACAATCTTCACTCTAAGTACATCACAGCTGAGTAGTAATAGCAACAGCTACCATCTATGGAGTGTCTACTCTGTGCTGGGTACTTGACATATACACATATTCTCTCATCCTCACACCAACTCTGCAAATGTGGAATCATTGTCCTCTTCTCATTTGAGGAAACAGGCTCAGAAAATGAAATTCCTTGCCAAAAGATGCACAAAGAGTAAGTGCTAATAGAGCCAGTTTCCTTGACGTCAAAGTGGAGCTCTTCCACCAAGTCTTACAGTAAGAAAGAGCGCCACCCTTAGAACACCTTTCACGATTAGAATAGCCAAGCATTTTTACATTGAGGTTCAAATTCTTACCTGTTCATCTACCTCTTGAAAACTGTCAACAACAGTGCCATTTGTTTCAAACTTTCCACATGTGCCACTAAGAGATGAGCTGCTATCACTTATACTACCTTCCAGGGTGCCTGTGACATTATCGCTAGCTGGCCGTGAAGACACAAAGAGGCTGATGTTATCAAAATCGTCATCATAGAGCCTGTTCTCAGCATCCACCTTCTGTACTTTTGCTGGATTGTAGGGTTTTAGGAAGGAAGAATACACATATCCTTTTATAACTAGATAGGAATAAAATGAAAGAAGAAACAAGGTCATTGGTATACGCTTTCCAAACATTTGTGTTTAGAGAAGCACATAGAGGCCCTTGGGGAAATCTCAACCGGAAGAGAGGTGGTAGTTCTGTGCATCTTCGGCAAAAAAAACTTACTTCCGGTGTCAACAAGCCACCTGCTCGTACTCCCCAGTGGATCCTTCTGTTCCATCACAGCCACCAACTCCCCTTCCAGAAGATTGATGTCATATTCTTGGGTAGCATTGCACTTGCGCTTCGCTTGGTAGAGTTCCTCTGTACTGTAAGTAGATAGAAGTTTGGCACGGTGGGTATCAGTTTGACGTGGTACTTCTGGCTGAGGGAAGAGGAAGGAGAAATTTGGGTTTAGGCAGATGCATAATAAAATCCTCACTGAGTTGATAGATATTTCTTCTCTAGAGATATTTTAAATGTTGAAGCCATACATGGATTTGGGATTATTTCACTGTTGAAGCATAGGTTGGGTTATTATTGTGAAATAGCCTGCTGAGTTCTGTAGTGAAAAGTGCTCTAGTTAGCACATGAGGGCAGTGTTGTAGAGAAAAAAGAAAATTCAACTGAGAATAAGCAAGCAGAGGTTCTAATCCCTCTTGGATGTTAAACAAATTTTTAATTCTTTGCCATACTGAAGACAATCCCTTGCATATTAAGCACTTGATAAATAACATTTAATTAAGTAAATTATACATGTGCATGTCTTTTTCTAGGAAATAATATCTGTGAATTAGGCAGGAATCAAAAGACCTGAACCCCATCTCAACTCTGTCACTAAGTGACTTTGAGAAAGCCACTTACTTCATCTGTGGAGCCTGGGATTCCTTATTTAGAAAAGTGGAAAGTTTGAATTATATGCTTTTACTCTATAAACATCTATTCATTTATTCAACAGATATTTATAGAGTGCCTACCTTGTGCCAGGCACCATTTTAGTCACTTGGAATATATCATGCACAACGATTTCATGAAGATAAAATTTATGACTTTCAAAGTTCATGATATAGAGGGTAGAAATGGACAAGAAATTCTACTGGGTTGTCGAAAAAGTCATGAAGTATTTTTTCTACATTTTTTGTTGCAAAAATGCGTCTTGACTTTTCCGACAACCCAATACATTAATAAGTATATAAATTATAGGACATTAGAATGAAATGAGTGATATAGAAAAAATATATTATGATCTGAACAAGACAGAGAAGTGATATTCATCAATGTCATGAAGGCTACCAAACTCACCAGAATTTGCACATGCTTCTTCTTTTCAAAACTAAGTTTCCTCTCAATAAAGGTGGCACTGTTATTCTTTACAAAATTCAGATTTTGAACCTCTTCTAGTACTTGATTCTGAATTTCAGAGATGTTTGAAACCAACAGTGGCACCTATAGGTAGAAATAACACAGCATTGTTCCCAGACAACTACTTAACCATATTAGGTATTGAATTTTGTAGAGTTGTGAAGAACGGCTGAGAAAGCACAAGATAGCTCTACAGTGGAAAAACTAGACCAACATTAGAACTTCTATGTAAAATGGTAGAATTTGCTATCTCCAGAAACCCCATTAAAATGACAGGGATAATTTTTTTAAAGGTTCAAGCCTAATAAAAGGAGAACAAGGGAGAAAAAAAATTTGGAAAACAGGCTTAGGAATTGATGGCAGTAGTCACCTCCAATGTGCTGTGGTAGGGTAGTGGGCAGGGGAAAGAGGCTAAAACAAGAAGCATTGGTTAAGAGCCTGTGATGGTTTTAAAACAAAACAGCAAATTCTTTGACATGTTTCCCATCAAGCGGTGAAGTCCTTGTCCCCTCTTTTCAAAACTGGGTGGGCCTTTATAATCACCTCAATGAGTAGAATTTTGAAATGAATAGGGCAATGGAAATGACGCTGTCTGACATTCAAGATTGGGCTAAAAAAGACCGTGTATTGTCTGCTGGTTTCTCTTGGGAGACATTCATCACTGTGGAGGAAGTCCAGCTGCACTGTGACTGCTCCATCAAAAAACCAGGTTGAAAGATCAGATCGAGGGAGGGTAGGGGGTGTATGGAGTCCCAGCCATTCCAGTCCCCAGCTGTTTGACTCTTCCATCATCATCCTGTCACCAACCTCAGAAAGGGGCCTGAGGAATTCTTTGAGATGACTCCAGCCTCAGCTATTATCTGACTGCAACCTCATGAGAGACACTGAGAATGATGACCTCAGCCCAGTGAACCACTAGCAACATGAGAGACAATGATAATAAATGACTATGGGTTGTTTATACCACCACATTTGTTATAATTTGTTTTGCAGTTATAAACAACTAGAAGCATTTGAAGCAGTTGGATCCCCAGACTCTCTCACATGTCAGTGAAACTTGGTGATTACCTCTTCCCTACCTTGGCAGAAGATGTAGTTTTCTTCTCTGTAAATGGTAAAACAGAGTCTCTAGACTGGGGACACAGTCACAAATAAGGGTTGGGAACCCATGTTAGAAAGAAGGAAATTAAGTGACTGGATATACGAGGTGTGATAAAAAAAATATGGTGGGCTGAGTGGCTCAGTTGGTTAAGAGCTCGCTCAAGAGTTTGAGCTCTGAGCAACAGCGGTTTGAGTCCCAGCCCAAGCTGAGCAGCCGCTGAGCTGCCAACAGGTGGCAGGATGGCTCAGTTAAAAAAAAATATGGTGAATGTTTAAATTAAAAAAAATTTTATTACAGTAAAAGACACATTGCCATTAATCCTCTTCAATATACTCCCCCTTGCTTCGAACACACTCATCTCATCATTCTTGCCACTTTCTGAAGCAGTTCTGGAAGTCCTCTTTCATGTCTTAGTTGCGCTGTCGTGGCTGCCTCGATGTCCTGAATCAATTCAAAATGTTTACCTTTCATGGTTATTTTGACTTTGGGGAAGAGCCAGAAGTTTCATGGTGCCAGATCCAGTGAATAAGGTGGATGAGGACACACCGTAATGTTTTTATTTAACAGAAATTTCCATACCAGAAGCAATATGTGACACAGAGCATTGTCATAATGGAGGATGAAGTAAAGACACTCATGAAATAGGACTTTCAGAACTGCTTCAGAAGGTGGCAAAAATGATGGGATAAGAGTGGTCGAAGTGAGGGAGAGTATTTTGAGGGGGATTAATGTCAATGTGTCTTTTACTGTAATAATTTTTTAAATTTAAACTTTCACTGTATTCTGTGATCACACCTCGTACACTGGACTCAGAAACCTCACCAAGCAGGCCTACCAGTCAATCATTACCCCTCTAGGCAGAAGACTTGAAAAGTCATCTCTGGAGATTCTGAGCAGCCCAAGAGGAAAGACCTACAGATGCTATCATAAGGTGTTCCCAACTGAAACTACAGTCAGATTACTCTACATGATAGAGAAGCTCAGTTTTCAACTCCTACCTATGTGCTCAATGCTGCCAATTAGTTCCCTACTCTTTATCAGTGGTGAATAATCAAGTATGTCAGACATCTAAGGCATGCCTCTAGCATGAAAGATTCTGATTAAAAGCAAAGCAACCTGTCTTAATTTTAAGAAAATAAAAATAAATTTTGAAAATTAAAATTATGAGAGCAAAAATAAAATAAATCAAAAGATGGGTTTGAAGATCAAGTTAGAATCATTTCTTATGGAGTAGAGCAAAGTAATAGACAGAAAATAAGAAAAGATAACAAAATGAGAGGAACAACCTAGGAGCCTAAGAAAGAGAAAATAGAGAAAAGGAAAAAATAATCATCAATGAAAATTCAAAGAAAGTTTCTTGAAATGGAAGACATTAATTTTCAGGCTGAAAGGAACCCACCAAGTATACAACACACAAAGGTACATCATGATTAAATTTCAGACTGATGAGGACAGTAAGAAAATTCTATGAGCTTTTAGAATGGGATAGAATGGGGAAGTATATACAAAGAATCAAGAATCAAAATGAACCTCAGAGGTCTCAACAGAAATTGTGGAAGCTAGAAGACATTGAAACGATAGAATGCCTTCAAATTCAGAAAGAACAACTTAGAATTTTACACCCATCCAAACTATTGATTAAATGTGATGGTGGTGTAAAGACATTTTCTGATCTCCAAGGTGCCAAAATATTAACCTCCCAATTTTCTTTTCTCAAGAGGCTACTCAAAAATAAGTTCTCTCAGATAAAAACATTAAGCAAGAAAGAAAGCAACATGGCAAATGATGGTTGCCAGGTAGAAAGGGGTTGAGAGGATGGATGAAAAGGGGAATGGATTAAGAAATACAAAGTGGTTGTGACACAGTAGT